TCTTTCGCTCACCCTTTGCTCGCAAATGCAAAGGCCATTCACTCGTTCTCTCACCTCTTTGCTAACAAAAGCCTCTTCTCTTCTCTCTTTCTCCCTGTGTTTTTTTCCTCTCCTGCCAAAACCTGCTCCTTTTATAGCTTCTCCTCTCTCCGCCTCCTCTTCCTCCTTTTCTCTTCCGGGTGTGCCAGAAGCTCCTACCAGCATGCAGCTACGCGTGCAAATCCTGGGGCTTCTGCCGAGCCCTGCAGCTCCAGCTGATCTCCTCCAGGTCTGTGTGGCGTAGCTTTAGTTGGTTCCCTCCCCCACTACTCTTGGCTAGGGGCTGCATACCACCTGCCAGGTGCTAAAGTACCACTGGTGGTACGCATACTATGAGTTGAAAAGCCCTGTTCTAGGTTGTCAGTTTCCTTTCTAAAATATGTTGTTCAGAGTTGGACTCAGTATTCTAGGTACAATCTGACTAGCGCAGATTAGAGGGGAATAGTTACTTACCTTGAACTGGATAGTTTACTCCTATTGATATAGGCCAGGTTTTTTTCCTTTTTTTGGGGGGGGGGGAAGTTGCATCACATGTTGGCTCTAGTTCAGTTTATGGCCTACCAAGGTAACTATATTCTTTTACTGGATAGTGATGTATTGCATAGTCCTTTTCTCCTATGTTCTGAGTTTTCTTTTGCAAACGTAGAAACTGGGAATGGTAGTATCCAGATAAGCCACAGTTACCACAGTTTGTTTAGTGACCGTTCAAAGTTAGTGATTTTTGACCGTTGCAGCATCCCCATGGTCATAACATCAAAATTCAGATGCTTGTCAACTGGCTCATATTTATGACAATTGCAGTATCCCGGGTTCACATGATCACTGTTTGGGAAATTCTGACAAGCAAAGTCACAGCTGCAATGATTCACTTAACAACTGTGGCAAGGTTGCAAAATGGGGCAAAAGTCACTTAACAACTGTCTCACTTATCAACAAAAATGCTGGGCTATTTTGGTCATAGGTCAAGGACTACCTGTAATATCTTTTATGACAGTAATTCCAATGATGTTTCTGTGTCCTGCAAACTATAGGTCTCTTTACTCAGCCTTTCCCATAATCAAGTAAAATTTCATATTCGCAATCACTGTGCAATATGACTGGAATTTCTGGTACAGAATTAAAAATTACACTTTTTCTTGAAAGGAAAATTCTCCTTGGGTCAAATTCAATTCCAGATGACATGTCCATTTTGTTTTCTTGTTAATAAAATGAAAGTCGTTATTTTTCATCCATTCAGATATTAACCAGGATCAACTCTGCTTAAAGTTGTTTTTTTTAAAAAAATCAGCCAACATAATAAACAGATGAGCAAACCACGCTTGAAAATATATGAGTGAAAATTCTTGTGTTTATATTCTGGTTCTTTTATTTTGTTCAGTGAATGTTCTTTTCTAGAATTTTAAATGCTGCAAAAACTCACAGGCAAAGCAAATATTCATGCCAAACAAATGTGTTCTGTGCCTTTATAACAAGGTAGGGAAAATATGCAGTGCGCAGATTTTGAAATTCTTTCCAAATCTTTTCTGGAGTGGTCATAAGAGGCATGTATTTTGAATACTGTACTAAACAGTAATATGTTGCATCTGTTTGTTTATACATGTGTACTAATCAAAATATGTGCATGTGTTGCTGTTTGTCTGTGTCGGCTTAATCAAGGTAGATGCAGATGTGTGTCCTGTATATGTGTATTTGAGACCCTAATCAGAGCAGCAAATGCATACGTGTTGCTCTGATTGGGGTCTCAAATATACATATACAGGACACATACCTGCATCTACCTTGATTAGGCCCACATAGACAAACAGCAACACATGGACATATTCTGATTAGTACACACATATACTGCTCTCCCTGTGTATCATTTGTGTGTATTTGCATGTTTGTACCAGGAAGCAGAGGATAGGCTACGTACGCTGTAAGGGAAACTTAGAATGGAAGAGTTGGCAACATTCTGAGCCACTGACTCTCCCATGTACTTATGGTATATTATACACTGGGCAAATCTTTAGGGATTTATGTTCCGTAGAATCTTCAAATATATCTAGCCCATTTCAAACTCTTTAGTCCTACCAATGGAGAAAGTCCCGAGTCCCTTAATATAATTTCTTTCTAATATGTTTCATTTAAGTTTGTGTATATGTGTGCGTACTTTTGTTTTCTTAGTAGAAAACCGAGAAATAAAACTCCCTGTTATAGCTGAGCATCTTAATTCTGATGTGGGATTTTTTTTTTTTTTGAGGAACCATTAATTTTGCCCAACTCAGATGTTTCTGACCAAGTTGGCATGTTCCAGCACCTAACAATTAAGCAGTGCCATCTTAAAGGACTCTTTTCTGCCATGGCACCTGCCTTCTGAAACACCATTCTATGACTCCCACTATGGCCTTTTTAAATGAGCCCTTAAAACCTGGCTGGGTCCCCAGGCTCTGGGATTGAGGGGGCAAGTATGATGTTTTGAATGGTTGTCAGCTTCTTTTTTGTTACTTTTGGTAGCAGTGCTGTTCCTTGTTTTTAAACTGTTATTCTTTTTCTTTTATTTGGCAAGGCACCCAGAATTGTGACAAATTAGGGCAGCCCATGAATTCCATAAATCCATAGTGCTACGCATCCTTCAGAAGTCCTAGTCCTAGACAGAGTCTATATTCATTTAATCAGAAATATATTCATGTAGCCTTAGAAACTCAGTTCTGAGTGTTGCTTTGTTCTGTTTGTTTGAATGTGAATGCCATCCAGTTTTCACTACAGAAAGAAGAAACAGCTGTTAACAAGAATATTTGTTTATATTGAGCAATACACATTTTAATGTAAAAGTATACCAAAATACAGAATGCAACAGACGTTTGCTTGCACTTAGCAGATAACTTACAAGTACTGTAAATAAATATATTATTCTATTAAGAACATTAATAGAAACATATAAAATTGTTTTATGTGTTGTTATACTGCCCAGAGTTACTTTAATGCGAGATGGGTGGATATACAAATACGATATAATAAAGATATCCTGCTATAATTATTTTTTTTCCTTCTCCCCTAGGTGGGCCCAGCAGGATCCCAGTTTGGCTTGTTAGCCTGTCTTTTTGTGGAGCTCTTCCAGAGCTGGCAGGTCCTAGAGAATCCCTGGAAGGCTTTTTTAAATCTTTCTGGGATTGTCCTCTTTCTTTTCGCCTGCGGTCTTCTGCCATGGATCGACAATATTGCACACATATTTGGTTTCCTCAGTGGCCTATTACTTTCTTTTGCTTTCCTGCCCTATATCACTTTTGGTACTGCAGACAAATATCGCAAACGGGTGATGATCATGGTCTCACTCCTGATCTTCGTTGGTTTGTTTGCATCTCTTGTGATCTGGCTGTATGTGTATCCCATCAATTGGCACTGGACTGAATATCTAACCTGCTTGCCTTTCACAACCAAGTTTTGCGAGAAGTATGACTTGGACCAGACCTTGCACTGATGAAGATGAAGCATTTAAGTGGATTTAGTAGAAAGGATTTTGAGGAACCAAGGACAGAGGCAGCTATGGCTGGGTAAAGCAGAGCATTTTCGTTTCCAGTTTCCTATTTTGAATTTTTAAGTGTCATCCGTGAAACAGCATGCACCAAGTGCTGAAGCCAAGCAAGTGGGTAGTCCCTGCCACCTTTTGTGAGGTGTACATTCTTCCGGATGTCCAGAGTAAAATATAACTAGGTGTAATTCTGTGGCAACCCTAAACATCAATTAATCATTACCTGGAGAGTTACGAGTATAAACCAGGGGTTGTTATCAGAACATTTCCCACTTACGTGCCTTGCATCAGAAGGTAGTCTCTGTAAAGCTTTGTTCCCGAGTTTCCTCCCTGACATGAATTCAGCCTTCGAGGTCAAGTTTCTTTTGAGGAACTGGCAAAGAATCCAAAGATGTCTTTCATCTGTGTGGCTGATTGGGCATTTGTGAGATGGAGGTCAGCCGATGACTTTCAAAGATTGCATTAGCTACGGACACCCTGTTGAACTGCTTCCATTGACCATCTGCCAGTTTCTATGTTTTCCTACTTGAAATCCCTCCTTTTCATGCAAATCTTGGTTTGGGGTTCCTTTCCTACTGCCTTTTGGCACAATATGGTGCTTGGACCTTGTGGCAGTCCTCCCTGCCTTAGTGCCTTTTTATGGTACTAGGAATTGTACTGTGAAAATAAACCCCATCTTTTTGTACAAGGGGCATTTTTATATGCAAATTCTTGTTTTACGTTCACAATCTCTGTATGTCACTAGGGTCAAATACTTTTTGACCAAGAACATTGCTTTTAAAGGCACCTTGTCCTCGGTTAAGAAATGCAGGTAGTTATTCCAGTATTTACATTGGGTTGGTAACACAGCAACCTGGAATTTCTTTAAAAGAACACTTGAAGTATAATTCCTTTCTAAAAGGAAAGGAATCAGATTCTCTAGTGACAAAATGAGAAATGTAAAAAAAAATATTTTTGGTCTAAATAAATGAGCTTAAATTCTACGAGGAGTATATGTACGTTTTTGTGTGTATGTATTTCTAACCCTAAATTAGAAGTGTTGAAGTTAGAGGTACATCATCTCAGAGAACCTGCTGTAGCTACATAGCACAGTTAATTTAGAATTCTGACTCACTGTTTTGCCCTAAGCAACAAAGCATTCCAAAATCTTACTGTGTATATGTGGTAATTTATTAGAGCCTTTGGTTGAGAATATTTTTCTATCAGTATTGTTGCTAATGTGTAAATATTAGACTGTTCCTTTGAACTGAACAATGTGTCCCAGTTGACACTGTTTATCTACTTTTCATTAAAGGTAGGTTTGGTAATCATTTCTTTGCATCCAAAGTATATTAATTTTAATGCTTAATGCCTGTATCCCGCTTGTTCCCAAAACTGGTTAAAGCTTGCCATTCCCCTTGCATTGCACTGTTGTTCCTTGCAAATATTTGACAAGTATCTTCACAAAATTGCCATTATGACAAATACATGTATCACAAAGCCCTGTGGCTGTCTTTCAGGTATCTACTGTCTGACTAGTAATTTTTTGAAGTGTTCCTACTCCCTGCTTTTGGAATCGTGTTCATTATCTGAATCGTGTACCTGTGGAGTGACTGAGTAATGGAAGTTAATTCATCCTTTGCCATCACCCCCAGTCACAATCTCAGCCTAGCTGTATTGTATAAAATAACTTCCCAATGTCATAGTCTTATTGATTACATCATGGCATAGGAATTCTGGGAGTTGAAATCCACGAGTCATAAAAGAGCCAAGGTTGCCTACCCCTGTGATAGCTACTGAGTTCTAAGATTTGGTAGTAACAGTTATGAGTACTGCAGAGAGTCATTACAAATTGTGCATTTTGCCTTTCATGTTTCGTTCATTAACAATAACAGCTCTATTTTACAAGAGGAGTTCAACTGCACTTTGATCTCATAAAATTGGTTACTTTCAGTTTCATATTATTCAAGCAACTAAGTGTATTTACACAAAACTTACTGTAAGTTATTGCTTTTTGTTCACTGGAGAGCAATTCTATACCTTGTTATGCTGGTTGATTTTATGTAAGGGTATATAACTTAATATGTTGTAAAATATATGCTGCCTTAGCATTAAAGCTACTAATCTGCATAATGCAAGTACAGTAGTCATCCACTTAAGGCAGTTCATATAACCATGGTTCAAAGTTACGATAGCCTTGGAAAAAGTGACTTATAACCTGTACTCACACTTAATGACAGTAACAACAGCCTGGCGATTTAACTTAACAGGAAGGGGAAATATTATCTCAGCAGCCACTATTTCTGCGCACAAATGCATGAGCCCGAATAGCACAGTTCATCTCAATGAAATTTAATGAACCAACAGTGATCTCACAGGGGCCTAGCACTTTAAAGCCACACTTCATATAAAAGGGAATGAGAAAGTCCTCACACATCAATGCAGCTCGACGCACACAGGGCAAGGAGCAAAGGTACTGTAGGTAGCGCCACATCAAAATGGATCCTTTGCCTTGCTGGCGGAAAGTGCAATGTACTGCCAGAACATGTATGTGGACTATAGTACCATGAGGCTTGTGTAGGGTCAGCGCATCCTGCCATGGGAGAAGAGGAAAAAAAAATGCTTTTTAGAGGTTGGTTTTTGAATCTCCTCCTGTTGACAGCTATATTCATCTCCAAATGTTTGCCTTACCAGATCCTTGAATCATTGGTCTCTTGAATCATGCCATTTCTTTATTCTCACAATCTATTTTTCTAACTTTTGCAGAGATAAGCTATGACTTCAAGGAATCCAGTCATTTCAGAATAGGATTTTTGCATTCTCAATCTATCTTGCCCCGTTTCCATAAACTTACTGAATAAATTAAAGTTCCATTGTAGATGAGCTAGACATCTTGTGACGCCTTGGACACAGCCATGTATTTCCTTGATAACAATAGGTCTCTGGTTGGCCACTGTCTACTTCCATTGTTTTCTTCAACTTCTAAGTTTTTTCTACAGCTCTGGGAGTCCCTGATTCCACCCAAGCCTGATCCTGCTTACATTTTTGTGTCCAGAAAAAGTTGGCCAGAAGCTGGCCCTGATGAAACAAAGCCTACCTACTGCATTTCAATAAACTTATTCTCCCATAGCCCATTTTGGATAATTTGAAATTATGTCCAAATTCTGTAAAGCTCTTTTGATTACTAATTTCTAACTAAGTGTAGTCTAATCCAATGTAATTATTGTGCCGCAACTTTATGAAAACACAACCATCTTTCAGCATCATACTGTATGTGCATTAATATATATTTTGGAAGGGGAAGCAGGCAAGGAACAAATCGTTCAGCAGTTTGCTCATAGGTGCAAAAGTGTGAAATACTGCTCTTCAGATTAACTGAGGTTTTTCTGCTTATTTAACAATAAAATAGTGTCTGGAAGTTTGCAAAAATGAAATGTTATATAAATAGAAGCATATTTTCTAAGAGTTTGGTGCACTGATGGCTGTGAACATATTTGTAAGTGCATCTGTCTCTCTACCTACATACTATATTCCTCCCTTGTTAAGTAATGGCAGATGCTGAATAATTTCTTTAAAAGAAAACTGGGTTCAGATTCCATTCTCATTCATTCTCTCCCCAAATACTGTATAAAGCAACAAAAACATATTTAGCTTACCTGGCTGAGTCTTTCCTGGTCCCAGAGGGAGCCAATAATGAAAGCAACTAGTTGACCTTCTTCAAACAAGCCAAGTGACAACTCAGGACATAGGTTAAGAAAATGGCGAATCTCATCCAGGTGGAGGGGGCAGTCTCCCGACACTGAAATAAAGGCTTGAGGGAAGAAGAAAGGGAGATGTAAAATTTTGTCCTGCTGATTACAGAAAGGTTAAACTTCCAGAAATCTAGGAAAGTACTGGCCCTGCCCAAGAAAAAATGAAACTAGGTGAGAGGATGAATCTGACAAAACCTCGAATCTTGCAAACTGAGATTTCAGGAATCCAATCTGGTTTCTTCTTATTACAGGTTTTCTATGAGGGGATTTAATTGATGCCTTTCACTGCAATGGGTTTTCCTTTATCAGCTATGCCAGAATTCAGTTGTAGGCAGAGCTAGCAGATAAGCACTCAAATGCATAAAGTCATACATTTTTGGGAACTGAGTTAATCTTTAGCCTAATTACTATTCTTGAAATTTTTACATTTCAAATGCAAATATGCAAATTTATACTGGGGCATAGTCTAAATCACACTAATGTTCAGGTTTAGCTGAAAATCCCCGGACTATCTAATGAAAAAAATCAGTTTCATCATATATCCCTCTGTCTTTCTGTCTCTAGGAAATACAAATGGGGGGTGGGAATTAGTAAAATATGGAATATAAATGGATTAATTACAGAGCTACTGCCACCTGCAAAGATTAGAAATGGGAAAAGAAATGCTCTCTGTAGTTAGCCAGCAGAATTCTTCCCCTCTATGCATGACCCAATTGCAACTTGTAGTTGAAAGAGATACTGTTCTGTTCAGTTTCTGCTTACTGCTTAGAAAATAAAGTTTGATTTTTATCTTTTTGAACACAATATTATTTAACTGTATCAAAGAAACCTTATACGTAAGGCATGGTGCGGTTTTTATTGGTGCAGTTAATTTAACTATCAATATCAGATCTTATGGCTGAAATTCTCTGATGAAAATCTTGAATATACAGTATTTTACTGTCATTAAGTCTTTCCAAACCTTAGCTGTTTCTAATGCTTTGGATTAATCTTTAGAGCGGTATTTCCCTGCAATAATTCCCTATTTATTATAGTATTTTTCCTTTATTTGATTTTTGGGAAGAGGGGTGCCTTCATATCTGTTGATTCCTGGTGATTGCCTGGACGAGTCCCTGCAATTTTCTTGGCAGCATTTTCAGGAGCAGGTTGTCATTGCTTACTTCCTAGAACTGAGAGAGAGTGATTGACCCAAAGACACCCAGCTGGTTTCTTTCATTAACATAGAACTAGAACTCATAATCTCACTATTTCTAATCTGGTGCCTTTCACCAATACACTAAACCACTTCGCTTTCTGAATTTAGGCATACTGTGTATTAGTTTGTCTTTCTACTAGCTAGTCTGCTTTGACTTCTCAGCATTTGGGAACATGGGAGATAACTATGAAATGTTTATAGTGTGCCATGCTTGATGTATTTGGAGAAAAAGTACAAGAAAGATGAAATGCTTTTTAATTGCCCTGGCTGCAGCTTGCAATACTATACCACACTGTTGCTTTCTTGCTTTTCTTCATATCACACACTCACTCGTATGTAACTATCCTACTCAGAGTCCAGTTATACAGTTCTTCCATATCGTGAACATGTCTTTCTTAAGATTAAACACAAGAAATGGATTTTACCTTCTCTCTCAATTTCAAACACTCCAATGGCATCTTCAGGTGTGAGACACCGGAATTCACTTACAGGAAGAGTGTGTCGACGCTGGCCCACAAGGGAGTTTTTTGAAGATCTGAGATAAGGAGATTTGAAAAATGGCAAAGCACTGATCATAGACATCTTCTATGGTATATCTGCCTCTTCTGTAAATGTTTCTTCTCCTCCTTTTGGAATAGCTATTTAATTCAATTGCCTCCAACACAATTAGCCAGCAGATGAGAAGACCTGCAGAGATAAGTATTACTTGCAATTTTTTGTTGTTTGGAAATAGGCATGACCATGAGCTTCTGATCCTTGCTATCATCCCCACTGTGAAACAGAATGTCAAGTTTTTTATTCCTAACCAGCTCACAGAAGCAAAGCCTATCAAATATTCAAATGCTAAGGCACAGTCTAAGGCAGATGGGGAAAAAAACCAGTATGGGATACTGGACATCCTTTGTGGCTTTTCATAATTTGTATATGTGTCAGAATGAACAGCTGAAACGGCAGCATTACACATAGAAACGTCAAAAGAGCAGTGAGATGACTGTGCGCGGCCAAACACACACTCCACACGGGTGGGGCGGGTGGAGAGAAGCAGAGCGCCAGAATTCAAACAGCTGTCAACGAGCCCGACGGAAACAGGAACGGGGCAATTGATTATGGGAGGGTGGGAATTGAATAGATCCGTAACATGCTTGTTAGCTAAACGGTTGGCTCAGCAGAGATTATAAGAATGTATTCCCTCAATCCTGGCTTGAACTCTGACGATGCCAGCAGATGCTGGCGAAAGCTAAATTTTAATAAATTATTATTCTTGGTGATCTGTATTTTCATGTTCTTTATATGTTTTAGCCTCCAATCCCCTAATCATCTTTGTTGCACTTCTCTGCACTCTTTCTAGAGTCTCAACATCTTTTTTATATTGTGGTGACCAAAACTGGATGCAGTATTCCAAGTGTGGTCTTACCAATTTACATACGTATATCTATATTTTCCATGTCGGATGGTCTGCATGGGTTGATGAACTATTAAATCTACAAAAATACAATAGCCAAACCAGACTTTGGGTTTTGATTTATTCACATTGTCCATTTTGGGCAATCATTCCAGACCCAATTATTCAGCTGAGTTGAATTATTCCCAGTCAGTCTATTTTGAGCTAAAGCCACTAGATTTTGGGCTGAAGCTTTAAAGTGATACACACCCAGCTCAAATGCCTTCATGGAATTCTTCAAATGTGGATATGCACAGCAAAATCTAAATCTTGTGAATAACCATCAGAAGCAAAATCAGAGATAATGAAAAAAGAAAACCAAAAACCTTGCATTTATGCTATTACTGATGCTTGTTTCGCTGATTAGGTATAGGTATAGGTATAGGCTAGCTCTAGTTCATGAGAACCTAAGAACAAAACTAGCAAAATACTCATAAATGCAATACCATATCAGAAAAAGTGGATTATATCATTTGATTATCGAAGTTACAGATTACTGTATCTACAAGGATTTATGCTATTTGATCCCTGTGAATATCCATATAAAACTGATTTGGATGGGGTTTTATGACTACAAATTAACACTTTGAGAACCGGGTACGCAATATCCATGTATACAGTATACTCTAAGTATTGTTTTTAACTATGATGTTCCTGAATGTGGGTTCTGGTATGAAAAGGAATTAAAGAACAAAATAGGTGAGGAAAACTAATAAATCCACTATAAAGCTAGCAATTAAACCTGAAAGTGATCATTACGTGGATTTCTTTAGTGGCCTCATCCCAACCAAATTTCTAGGAACTAATTCTTAGCTCTTGCAATTTTATTTCTATTATTCACGTGCATGGCTGTGTGTCTTAGCATAGAATCTACAAGGGTGCTCAAGAGGAATTAGCAGCAGAGATACAGGTGACATCAAATCTAATCTCTAAGCCTGCTTGATTTGGGTTTGAGTAGCTTATTGTACATTTCCTGATCTGTCTACTTTGGAGCAGAGGATATCACGGCACTCATATATTTAGCTTCTCAGTTTTTCTCAAAGCTGCTATATTTGTAGTCTTCAGCAGAAACCAATAGAGAGGCAGTAATATCTATTCCTTTTAACTTCCACAAAACATTTTTTCACAATCCTGGTAGCAGATTAAGCATTTTTCTCAGACTTCAAACACAAAACTTCAGTATGGATTTATTTTACTATTAACAACAGTATTTCCAAACTTTTAGAATTTCCAAAACTCAATAAAACAATAAAGGGTTTAAATTTAGCAATAATTTATAAGCAATCTGAATAGATTGTCTTCTGTGTTGAATATTTATACAACTATGTCAGTGAAATTCTTCCCAATTTATTGATCTATGGTAGCATCTACTCATCATATATCTGGAGGTTAATTACTATGCAGCCCCTCTGCACTGCCCAAGCAAGGTAAAAAATGTGCTGCTGTGTGCAATTCTTTACATATGCAGCATTCATTAGAAGAAATTAAAAAGTAATAGAAGCACTGCTGCAACAATACATATTGCAGGGTACTATAATCCCTAACCAATGGGCCTAAATATTTTTTTCTGTCCAAAGATAAGGGATTTGTTCAGGCTATGCTTTAATTTATATATAATTAATTTTCAATTCAATATGTGCAATATCATATAAATGGGCCTTTCTCACTATTAATAATTTTCCAGAGATTCTTTGCATCCATTGACATTGGTAAACTCTAAGATGAAATTCCAACTCTGGAAAATTTAACTACGGTACAAATTGTAATGGCATAGAATTAGTAATTTTGTTTTATTGGGAAATGCAAGGATATCTCTGACTGTAGGTCACAATTTGGTTTCCAGAAAAGTATTCATATTTTATTTTCTCTAAAGCTAAAAGCATTAAAAATTATTCAGTATAATTTATTTATTAATCACTGTTTAAAGATATGTAGTTTAACTATACAATTAATACAGAAAATTCTTATTGTTAATTACGGTATACAATTGTGGGGGAAAAATATCTTGGACCAGAAAATAGATTGTGATATTACTTGTCTCTTCTAGAAAAACTATTGTTTTAACTCTCATCTACTTTTGGCTTTGGGCTTATGTAATATATATTAACTTATATACCAGTAATTTAACCTGACAATAAATCATTTAAAAATAAGTTATTTAAATTATATTTCAATCCTGAATTCATTTTCTTAAAAGTGTCCTTTTTTCAACAGAACTTATTCTCTAAATTCTAAATAATTCTAAATCCTTGGAATCTTAGGATTTTAAGATTTAATTCTCTGAAGTTAACTGTCAGGCTTCTCTCACAATAATTTTAATTTTCTTGTATATTGAATGTCCAACTGCAAAAAATGATTGTATGACTACATGCAAGTGCTATGATTGAATGATTATATTTAATTTTTTAAAAGATTGATATTACAATTAAAATATGCAAAATACCAGGATAGAAGATACAATACTATTATTTTTAGATTTGTAATATTTGTAATATAAGCAAGGAATGAATCTTACCTTCATATTATTATAATATGAATCTTACCTTCATATTATTATACTTTTTTGCTCAGATGATCTGATTGCTTAACATATTACAATTTAACATTTTGTAATGAGCAAATACTATCTGCTATAGGAGAAACAGTTCAAATTAACTTCGGAATGAAACTTTCCTTGACCTTGGAAATCAACTTCATTAAATTGAATTGCAATATCTTTCTTACCTGTATGTTGAGTTTTCTTTTAGTAGTCTATTAACTTCTCCACAATGACATTGCGGAATTGCTGCTAGAGAGTAAGACAAAGAAGACTGCAGTGAATGTTAATGGGGTCCCAGCTTTTATTTTTCCAGAGACTTAGGGAACTCCAGCTTATATATTTATTTTAGTAGCACGTGATGATTTTCTTAAAACATTTAAACCCTCAGGAGGCATAGAATTGCAAAAGAGCTTTAAGGTAACATGTCAACAAAAAGATGGTAGCAGGCTTTACTTTCTTGGTATGATTTTCTCCCTAAGGATAAAATGTTTTAGCTTATTACTAAATAGAAAGGGGCCTTAGAGACTACAAGTGAATAGCTAAGCAGGGCACATTGGCAGAATACTGGTGGAACAAAAACACATTGCATATATTCTTCCTGGAACTATTCATTCTCAAAGGATTTCCTGCTTGAAAGTGAATGTACTCAGTCAATATTACTGTAAATATAATTGTCTTCCTGGAATTGTCTTTGATCCATTAATTGCACCAACTAAATTGTTCATTATTACCATATTAACAAATAGGTTAATAACCTCTCCTCTAAATATTTTGCTTGGAGTATGGAACTGTACTCCTATGTCTTTAATATATTCAGTTATCTGTGATACATACACGGAATATAAACAAACAGCAAGAAAAGTAGGGCTAAGATTAGACTGAGAATAGAAACCACAAGAAACTAATTCATGGTCTGTTTGTGTATGTGCACGTGCACACGCATCATGATAGTCAGGTTTGTGAGTATTCTATTGGCATCTTTTGAATGGCACAACCAAGTAGCTTGCAATGTATATAGGAATATCTGCACGGAATACGGGCTGGATCCTCTTAAGTCCAGATGGGAGATCTCACAGAAGATCATGGAGAATAAGAAAGCTAAGAGCCTGTGGGACTTTCAGATCAGAGAGACAAGCAGGTGCTAGCTAATCAACCACACATCATGGTAGTTGACAAGGAATGGTGGTAATAGATATAGCAGTGCCAAGTGACACCAATATCAGGAAGAAGGAGTATGAGCCCTGGCGGAAGAGAGATTAAGTGAAGTACTGCAGGCAAACTCTGCCCACAGCCTAGAGTTTGAACCTGATAGGGCTCAAGGTTGACCCAGCCTTCCATCTTTTCGAGGTCGGTAAAATGAGGACCCAGATTGTTGGGGGCAATATGCTGACATTGTGAACCATCCAGAGAATGCTGTAAAACAGAGGCAAGAGTGGCTCCAACAGATGATGATGATGATGATGATGATGATGATGATGATGATAATAATAATAATAATAATAATAATAATAATAATAATAATAAGGATGATGATGATGATGATGATAAAGTTGGAAGGGACCTTGGAGGTCATCTAGTCCAACCCACTGCTCAGGCAGGAAACCCTATACCATTTCGGACAAATGGCTATCCAGTTTCTTCTTAAAAACTTCCAGTGTTGGCACATTCACAGTTTCTGGAGGCAGGTTGTTCCACTGATTGTTCTAATTGTCAGTAAATTCTCCTTAGTTCTAGGTTGCTTCTCTCTTTGGTTAGTTTCCACCTGTTGCTTCTTGTCCTGCCTTCAGGCGCTTTGGAAAATAGCTTGACTCCCTCTTCTTTGTGACAGCCCCTGAGATATTGGAACACTGCTATCATGTCCCCCCTCGTCCTTCTCTTCGTTAAACTAGACATACCCAATTCCAGCAACCATTCCTTATATGTTTTAGCCTCCAGTCCCCTAATCATCTTTGTTGTTCTTCTCTGTACTCTTTTTTACATCGTGGTGACCAAAACTGGATGCAGTATTCCAAGTGTGGCCTTACCAAGGCATTGTAAAGTGGTATTAATACTTCACGTGATCTTGATTCTATCCCTCTGTTAATGCAGCATAGCACTGTGTTGGCTTTTTTGGCAGCTGCAGCACACTGCTGCTCATATTTAAATGATTGTCCACTAGGACTCTGAGATTCCTCTCACAGTTACTACTATTGAGCAAGGTACCCCCTATACTATACCTGTACATTTGGTTTTTCTGGCCTAGGAACAACAACAGAGCTCTCTGTCCAGAAACCCTACTGGCTGAAGAATCTATGTTCTGTCTCTCCTAACATTCCTCCTTTAGAAAAAGAACAACAATCCTTCCCACTGTGGTAGAATCCTCAGCTTTCATTGCTCTGCCCATTCCATATACAGTATGGTTTCTACGATCAAAGACTTTCAACTTCAAAAACAGGAAGTCTTGAGGAGAAAGGAGCAGGAACTATAATATTATATTAGAGCAACTTCACACCTGCTATGGTCCTTGGAATGATGTTTCAGGGATCAGAGGACCATCACACTAGACAGTGAGATTTCTCTACATTAAATAGACTTTTCCACCCGAAACAGCTATGCTACCTATTAAAAAAAACCCCTGAAATATGAGTTGTATGAATTCAACAGGGATCACAAAATCTACCATTTCAAAATTAAAATCAGAAATGATTTAACACATCCCAATTCTAAAATTCATAGGTTTTCCTTATGCAAAACGTACATTTAAGTACCTTTCAAAAGCTATTAGCTCATAATTAAAGCTGTATTAAATATTCCACAATTATTTTTAATGCTCCTTTGGCAAGGATATACTAGAAAACCATAATTGTCTTATCCTACCACATGGTGTCACTGATTCAAAATATAGCTCCGTGTGTAAAATTTATGAAATATGAGACTAGTCTTCTGTAATATTTTAATCTTAATATGCATCATGCATGGTTCTACCAAATATATACTAGAAATAAAGGAAACTCAGAGGCTCTGAAGCCCAGTATACTTCCACAACATTAAATAGTACTTGCTTACATTTGTCTACAAATATGGGACTTCAGCCTAAGGGTTTTAACATTTGGAGACATTTGAATGGGAATAAAATCCTAAAGATCAAGAACACTAGCCCATGATGCAATAATGACAACTGACAAATAGTCTAAGACAAATACCAGGGGCACTTTGAATATAATAATTACATAAATAAATCACTAGTCATCACAATGTTCTTATTACAACAGTAATGATTAGTTTAGTTATATTCTGGTTGAATGCCTGAAAGCTGACTACACCCAAAACCATGATTCTTGTGAAATTTTTTTTTTAAATCAGATTCATTAATTAGGAAAAAAGGACTAGATTGGAAAAATCTATAACTGGTTTGTTTTTACTTTCCATCTTATCACCCAGCATACCAATGCAGGAATTTTATTGCCTGTGTGTGCTGGCAAAAAAAATGTTCTTTTAAGTGATAAAGAGAGAACAGACATTCCAGAATGGGAATCTCTTTCAAAATTTGAATATACCATTACAGTGGTTAACATATTTTATAAATAAATCTAAAAATACAGATTGAAATTAACAGGGATTGACTAGGAAAAACTCAAACTTTTTTAGTTATTGTCTTTTATAAATATCTTTTATCATTTGAAATGGCAACTAGAATTACAACCATTCTGACAAATTTCAAATCAGCAAATTTTAAGCAGCCCAAATACCTGGAGAGTAAATCCAGTTTTAATGCTTTGTGAAGAAAGACCAAGCTAGAAAGGCCAGGCTAACTGAATCTTGGAGAAGTTGTGGTAGGAAGATCATTCAATAGGAGTGGAGCTACCAAAGATCAAGTATGCTTCCTAGATACAATTCGATGACATTGGTACAGAGAAGGGATCTGGAGCATGTCTAACTTGGAAGAGCATGTGACAAGGGAGCTAGGCAGTCCCACAAATAACTCAGTCCTGTGCCATGTAGGGTTTTAATTTAATATGAAGTTCTGAAAAGGTGTACTACCCAACTAACTATTATCAAGAACCTTAAGATTTGAATATTTTTAATTATAATTTGAATAAGATATGAATAATTTAAATAAGATTTGAGAGCCAATTTGGTCTAGAGGTTAAGGCACCAGGCCAGAAAAGAAGAGACCGTGAGTTCAAGTCCTGCCTTAGCCATGAATGCCAACTGGGTGACTTTGGGCCAGTTACTCTTTCTCAGCCCAACCCACCTCACAGGATTGTTGTTGTGGGGAAGATAGGAGGAGGAAAGTGTGTTAGATATGTTCGCTTGAGTTATTTGTAAAAATAGTAAAAGTGGGGTACAATTAATGAAATGATAACTTTTTCAAACTAGCATAAATTGGATGGCTTTCTCATGAAATAAATGAAATAAATATCAGGTAATGTTGTTTTATGTTGGCTCAAGTTCCCTTTATATTTCAGTTAAGTTTATATGACCTTGGACCAGTCACTCTTTCAGTCCTAGACAGAGGGCAGTGGTAAACCATTTCCAATCTGGCCCAGAAAACTGCAGGATCCTGTCCAGACACTGGTCAGGAATCAAAACGACTTGAAAGCATGTGCACACACACATACCCAAAAGGATTATATGAAGCTCTGCTAATATTCAATGGCAAAGATATACCAAACAAACAAATATGAAAACAAGAAAATCCAAAAGGAGGCAACTATATTTCTTTTACAAAACGGTGTATTCGATTGAAGTCCTAAAGAAGAATATTAATAATCACAAGAATCAAGCCATACTACAGCTATATAAATGAAACAATGCTGAAGGTAACAATTTAATGTGGCCCATGATGAAGACTTCTAAACTGGCTCCATAGGACAGGAGGCTAAGATAACTGAATTAGTTCAGCATTGCTATTGAAAAGAAATTAGTAAATTCCTTGAAGAGACCCAAGAACCATCTCCCAAATAGAGGATTCAACTCTTTGTCACTAAATTGTATCTAGTTTAATATTACTGTATTGCCTCTGTTGTGTATGACCCTCTATCTTTTAAGCAAGAGAATTGAGTGATAAAAATAATTTTCATAGATTTTATTTAGTGTTATATTAAGTTATTTAAGAGCGCCATCTATTGGGAAAAGGACATGAAACTGAAGGGGAAAAAATGAAGGCGCTGTCAAAGGAGGCTTTTATTTTGCAACTGCTGCCTCTTTCACTGGATTTGGAAGGCAGAGAAGAAAGACCATAATCATTGATAAAATATGCAGTTATA